GTCTAACAATTTATTCAAGCAAAGCAGATTAATTTATGTACATAGGGTCAATGTATGTGTGAGAGTGTTATGGATGTGTGTGTGTGCGTGCGTGTGTGCGTGCTTGTGTGTGTGTGTGTGTGTGTGTAGGAGAGAGAAAGAAAGTGGGAGAGCGAAAAAGACAGAGAAGACAAACAAAAATAGATCTTTTAAAGTTTCTGAAGTTAGGTTATGTTCGGCTGTGAGCGCTAATGATCCTGGGACAAAAGAGCCAGCTTTTAGCCATTACCGTTGTCCGGGAACCTCTCCACACAAGACCAGGGTAGACGCAAGGGGCCTCTCCTGGTCAGACAAGTGGAACAGGTTACTTCTCGTGGACTTGGTCTTTCGGCAAAGCGGCAGGTCGACCAGGAAGCTTTGAGGAGCTCACAGCGCAGGTGTTGCTTTCAGGCGGGACAGCCCGACACAAAAATGGTGTTTCACCAAAAAGACAGGGTCCTTGTAAAAACGAGAAAATTATGCTGCAAGGCGAACTGGAAAAGTGACTGATTTCCAGTAAAGGAAAAGAAGCCCGGGACAGGGAGAGCAGACGAGCAGAAGACTGACTAACAGGAAGCAACACGGGAGTTTTAATGAACCAGATGTGTGTATGTTATCTTTGTCTGAGCGTAGGGACGAGCTCCCATAAGAACTCTGTGTTTGTGNTTTGGGATAATTTGTCACATTAAATTTAATTATCTGAGTTATAACTTAATTTAAAAATAGGACGATGCAACTAGTTTAATGAAGAATCTGTCTCCAGTCATTAAATCAGGTGTTTATTTATGTAGGTAAAAGTATCTTTAACCACCTGTTAAAATACATTAGAAATCAGGAAATAGCTTCTAATTTATTCAATTTATTTTTCTGGGGGAGGACCCCCAGACCCCCCTCCAGTGTGTCCTTTACACACATTATAAGACTTATGTGAGAGGATAAACCAACACACCTGTGTCTCTGTATGAAACTATGGTTGAATGTCAAACTGTATTCTTAGTGAGTTTAAAGGCTGGTACAGTACATGATTGAATGAAGGTGAAACATAATCTCAGTTAATGTGGTTTGAATATTATTGCATCACAACAGAAATATTTGGTGTTCAGTTGTTGACGAGTGCAGACAGTTAAACTGAGCAAACACTGAAGACATGAACAACAGAAAAACCTGGTCGCACAACTGTGTGTGCGACAGACCCCGTCCCCCACGGTGCGTCCCCACCAACTTTCAGCACAAAGTTACGCCCTTGTCTCTATACGCTGTTGTTGAGTTACAAATGTTTAATCTGCTTTCCTTCTGTGTAATATAATTAATTCTACATTAGCATCAAGTATAATCCACAGTGGAATTATTGACAATGGTACAACCAGATTTCAGTGAGGATCTGTTCTTCTCTGCAGCCTTATAAAGCCCAGCTGTTAACTCAGACAATCAGGAGAATGCAGGAAGCTGAATTCCCACACACATATTCTTGTACTTCCATCAAACTGAGGCCTTTGTATTGACTTCCATTCATTTTTACCTCCACCAATGGCGAGGTAATGTTTTCGGTCACGTATGTCTGTCGTTCTGTCTGTGTACAACATTACTCAAAAACTTGTGGACGGATTGTCATGACATTTGCAACACGTGGATACTGGCACAAGTAGCACACCTTTAAATTTTGGTGATGTTCCGGATCACGATGCGGATAAAGGAATTTTTTTCCTTTTAATCCTCTCAGATCGGCAAAGCTGTGATGCTTTCAAAGGGCTTCTGTAAAAAACTGTGACAGCTTTCAGTGTTTGGACTTCAAACTTTATAAAAGTAATGTTAAAACCAGATGTAATGATGAATAATTCTTGCCATAATGTGCGCATTTAGAGAAGTTTTGTGACCAGGAAGTGCGTGACTGCACCATGAAACCTATTTTGCCCATTTCCTCAAACACACCACATTGTCGGTAGGC